CGTTTAGCTGCTGTTGCTGCAAACACGAACCAGACTTAATTGGCATCGTGATCAGGAATCAGAACCACAATCCAACGACAACACTCCATACTCACCGGAGCAGTTGATCCCTCTATTCATCCAGCTGTCCAACTCTCTGCGCAGTTGCAAAACCCGTTTCGACCAGATTCAAACCCTGAGCCTATTCGTCATTCAATATGGCCGGGGAAACCATCAGCATCGCATCCAATTGGAACGCTTACTCGCTAAAGAGCAAAAATATCGAGTTCATTTGATTTCCTCAACGAACGAAACATTGACGTCATTACCGAAACGCACCTGAAGCCCGAGATAAATGTCTACCTTCCTGACTTCCGGTTCGTGCGGCTTGATAGAACCAGCTTCGGGGGAGGAGAAGTGGCCGTCGCTATAAGAAGGAACATATACTGCCGACTACTACCAAGTTTTCAGGTGAAAGTCATCGAAGCCGTAGGGGTGAAAGTCTCCACTTCTGTCGGCTCCTTTCTATCATGTTGCGGTCTATTGCCCCAAGCAAGTCAACACCAGAAACGGGTCAGCAGCGGCCCTTCGATGTGACATCGTACTGCTCACTCGGAGGAGTGAGAAGTACATAATTTCTGGTGACCTCAACGCCAAACACCAAGCTTAGAGCAACAGTCACCGCAACCAAAACGGAACCATCTTAAACAATGATCTGCAAGAAGCTCTCTTCAACATCTTGAGCCCAGACACTCCCACCCGGTTGATCCGGTCCAGTGTTCACGCTACCATCGATTACTTCATCACCAACATAGGTAACAACATCGCTCAACCTTTCACCTATCAGGAACTCAGCTCGGACCACTATCCGGTGGTGACCGAAGTTGGTTTCTCCGTGAACCGATTTGAAGCTTCTCGGCGCAACTACCATCGTGCCGACTGGGGTCAGTTCCAACACTGCGTTCCAAGACCAATTGCAATCGCCTTACCAAAATCATCCAAGCCAGGATGGTGAGTCTCAGAACTAATGACTCTGCTAGTAAGATCCGCTCTCTCCCAGATTGTGCTAAGCCGTTCTTGAAACTTACCAAAATGCTTTAAAACAAGTCTAGGCCCATTTCACCACTGATACCGCTGAATTCGGAGTGATTCGCTTCCTTTGTTAACCCCTGTAGAGAAGACTGCAGCGACAGGTCAACACTTCGTCAGCTCCCACAATCTCGGACAGAACAGCATAAGTCCACACGAGGCTGCGGTTGCTGAAAATGCAGCCAACTTTCATCAGATTCTCAACATCTTTCTTGAGGAATCAAAGATCACAGCTGACGAGTTGTTGGCGTATATCAAATCATCCAAAAATATGAAGGCTCCAGGTTTTGACAACATCCTCAAACTGGAAGTCAAACATTTGAGTTCCAGATTCTTCAACCATCTGGCACTGATTTTCAATCAGTGCCTCCGACTTGGCTACTTCCCCTCGGGATGGAAGTTAGCTAAAGTCATACCCATCCGGAAACCTAGGAAGGATTCTTCCTCTCCTTCTAGTTACCGAACCATCCGCGTTCTCTGAGGGTTATCCAAGTTGTTCTAAAGGGCAGTTTACAGCCGGCTTCTAACATCTGCCGAAGAAAACAACATCTTACTCAAGTAGCAGTGTGGTTTTCAAAAAGGTCGATCGACCGTCCACCAACTGACCCGAGTAACAAACATTCTCAGACGGATCAAGGCTGTTTCTAAAACATCTGCTATGGCATTATTAGACGTTGAAAAATGCGTTTGGCAATATCTTGCATGATGGCCTGGTGTACAAGTTCCGGTCTTCCTCGTGAACATCATACAAAATTATCTATCGGACAGAACGTTCCAGGTCTCTCTGAATGGCACGCCATTAACATCGGTGCAGGTATGCCCCAAAGAAGTATCCTTAGGCCCATCCTGTTCAAGCTATTCACCTCCGATATTTCGACTCCCCCTGATGGTGGATCGTTGTCTCTGTTCGCAGATGACACATCCATCGTCTTCAAGGGTAGGGTCATAGGAGCTCTGACTACCGAACTCCAGAGAGGCTTAGATGTCCTGTCTGAGTGCTTCAACAGCTGGATGATCCGTATCGACGTGGTGAAGACTCAGGTCATAATTTGTTCACAATCAAAATCCCTCAGACTTCTTCCGTCTGAGAATAACAAAATTTGCCTAAACGGACAGTGGTGTAGTGGTCTAAAGAGGTAATCTACCTCGGACTGACTCTTGACAGTGGGCTGCTTTTCAGGGAGCACGTTGACAAAACGAAAACCAAGTGCAACATCTTGATAAGTTCATTGTATCCACTTATCAACAGGAAGTCTACCCTGTCCCTGAAAAATAAGCTTGCTATCGAGTACGGTATGCCAATCTGGGGGAGTTGCGTCAAATGACATCAACTTAAACTCCAAAGGATCCAGAACAAGAACCTTAGGATGATTCTAAACAGTCCTCCACAGACGCGAAATTCTTAGGTCCACCAAGTGGCTTATTCCTCTTCGATCCTTGTTTGGACCCTACCCGAGGTAATCCTGTTTGGATATCGATTTGGAAAATTCCTCTTCGATCCTTCAGATTCTTATAGTACTCTGCTTGGAAGTCGATTTGGATAAAAGTTTTACAGTCGCCATGGCGCCTAAGCGCAAAAGAAAAGAGAAATCTCTTGGTTCCCCTTCTGATGAAATTATTTTGAGCAATTAATTTGAATTGCTCATGGATGACGAGAATGATCCATCGTCCATCAAACATTCTAGTAAACTTTCCCGGCTTAATGCCAAGAAGGAAAAGATTCCCCCTATTGTGATAACCACTTCCGATTTCCATGCTCTTTGCACGGAACTTTTGAACTTCGTGAAATTCCAGTTTTCATTGCAAATTGGCCGTCGGGGTGAATGCCGTGTATTGGCTGAAACCTTGGACAGATTCAAACGTCTTCTCAAGTATCTTTCTGAGAAGCAGCACTCATTTTTTTTTATGAAATCTGCAAAACCTACGACTTTATCGGTCCTCTTTTCGAAAATTTGCTTATAGCAGCAAGTTGAAGAATTCTCCTCCCCTAACACGCAAATAACTTCGAGTATTCATTAGGTTTTTGAAATGAAATATTCTCAGTGACGATGAATACATAATCAACAAACGATAATGACAGATAAGACAGTAGAACCTCTCTAATTTGAATCAATATTTAAAGTAGAGTAAAGATAATGAAAAGCAGTGCCTAACAACCTATTTGTAGTGTACCTACATGCTTCCATCAAAATTTAACATAGACACATTAAGGTGATTCCCTGTAGCGTCCATTTTCGTGTTACACTTCGCAATTTTACATGTAAAAATAATGAGGTTTCTGTGAATGCACGTAGCTGAAACTACTACTTGTTGTTTGCTGCGGAGAAGCAAGGAATGTCTGAAATTTTCAAATTTATACACCTTGTAGATCTTGAGATGTGTGCTCTTGAAATTGTGAGGTGTGATGGAAAAATGGACACTGCGAGGAAACACCTTAAGCAACGCTACTTCAGTGTCTGCTTAAGTCCGCATTTTAGCATAACCAGCAAGTATAGGAACGATTGCCTCCATCATGTCTCACCGTAAATTGTTCAACTAAAAATGACTCCTCGTCAGCATGTTTCAAGTCAGGTAGCTGGTTACTATACATAGAAATAAAGACAGTACATTCTTACTCCAACACCGGTTGTGTCCAGTTGTACAAAATTATCACATCCACGCACAGTGATTCAAAGAGGAGCGTATTTTCCTCATACAGCATTCCGGTTTTACCTTTGGTCTTCAGTTTGCCATCCTACTAACACATTCACATCTTTATATAATACACATTGTTAACCGAGTTTATGTGACAGCTAGACAAAAATAAATTACAGTTTTTGATCAACCACGTGCTGCTTAGTTTCAGTTTGTTTGTGCTCAGCAAAGTTGTTTCATTTGACACAATCTACAACTTTGCTCAAGACACCAACATGATTTGAGCAAGTTTGTAAAATTTTAATTTTGCCCTGCCCTTCTAGGTGGATAGATCAGCAATATCTCAGCACCAAACGATAGCCCTTTGAAAATTCTGCAACTCTTCTCAAGACACCATCCTTCTAAAATGTCGTTTTCATACCGAAAAATAAAAAACGCACGTTTTGGGGGGTTTTGAACCACTGTGCCACGTACCGATAAGTTATCGGTGAAATTTCAGCTGGGGCTGACTCGCTGGATGCGAGTTGGGCCCCCAAAAATAAGTAAACCAGAGAAGATGCCACATATTCGGGTTATCATCCTAACAATATGTGGTGTTGCAGAACGATTTGTGGTATCGTTCATGTATGGTGCTCCTTTATTAGGGCGATAGATTGAACTTCCTAGGAAATTTGGGGAAAATCCCGTGGAATTGGTTGATTTCCCGGGATTTTTTTCACCTCTACTATTTCCCGGGAGGCCACCCTCTACTCCCGACAGATTTTGTGAGCTTCCTCCGATTGATTCTTTCAACTTTTGCAGGAGGTTTTTTTTTATCCCAACCGCTCCAAAAACTTCTCATCTGGTTCATTAATTATTTCTCCAATTTTAACGATTGTTCTACATAGAGTAAATTTCCCGGGAATGGTTTCCTGGCCTATTTTGATTGAAAATATATGTTTAACTTTTTCTTATCAGATCAATAAATTAATACTGGGAACCATCGGAATAAGTAGCCAGAGATTGGCCAGCTGAAAATCAAATCAAAATTATAATGATTGTCAATCACAACTCTATTAGGGAAATGGAATAAACTTTGTGGTAAAGCTGTCCCCAGGCGAAAAATGGCAATCAAGGCCACCTCCCAAAAATTTGAGAAGACATAGATCCAGGTTAAGCCAAACCGTCGGCAGACCATCCTTCTCAGAAGCTACCAAATCAGTATATTTCACGATTATCTAAAAATAAATAACACATCAAAGTTTCACCGATTTCTCGATTATTGCTAAACTGCTTCCTCTTCCTTCTCTAATTCGCAGGTTACATCATCTTCCCGCTATCCCGCCGGCGGTCGGTGCCGGTGAATTAAATATTAAGCAACGGGCAAAACTGTTAGCGCCTCTCCGCAACTCCCCCAAAGTCAACCAATTATGGCAATTGGAAACGGCAGCAGTGCGTCAACCACGACGGCATCCATTACAATTAATTACACCGCCACCACCTCGTTCACCGCCAACGTGTATCAGGAAATCTACGTCAATCTGCAGATCGTGAACGGTGATCTGCTCAATTTCAGCGAGCGCTTCGTCGTCGATGCCAACGGGTCGACCGCTGTGGCTCTGCCGTCGACTTCTGCCACCTCCATCGGGGCTTCGGCTCTGGCGGCTGCTTCGTCGAGCTCGTCGTTGCCAACCATTGGAATGGTATCGGGCGGGTTTGAGGCCGCCGTAGAGGACGATCCCGGCAAGGAGTGTGCCAAGATTTGCCTCTCGTGGGATAAGATGTTTCTGGTGGTGCTGTTCTGCACGCTGATTGTCATCACGGTGATTGGCAACACGTTGGTAATCCTTTCGGTGGCCACCACCCGGCGGCTTCGGACCGTGACGAATTGCTTCGTGATGAGCTTGGCCGTGGCCGATTGGCTGGTCGGTATCTTCGTCATGCCCCCGGCGGTGATTGTTTTCGTCGTAGGTGAGTTTCGGTATGGCACTCAAATTTTGCATATTGGTAACAAACTGTTCGTCAAAAGGGCCTAGCTGAAATGAACTTCGTTGATTTTCTCTTCTCGGTAGGACTAACATTTGATGCTTTTGCTAACTAATACGAAATTTCGGGAAATTGGATCTCGTAAGTGTATTAATGCCAAGAGAAAATCGACGAAGAAAATTGCTAGATTTCCTATCATTAGAATGGAATAATGATCCGTTTAGATGAAATGTAATTCCATGCTCGAAGAGCATCTGTTTGGACACGTGTAACATGAATTCATATGATGTGTAAACACACCACAAAGCATGACAGCTGTTCAGACGTTATTATCGCACGCACTCTTCGAAGAATCGATGCTTGATGGGAGGAAAAGTTCTCCAACGCAATCCTATGAATGGTAGAAGTGTGGTAGGCGTAAGCTTCTGCCAATTGCGGATTGGGTTTTTTTTTTCTCAGTAAGTACAACTAGCACAGCAGGTGGCCAAGGTAACCCCAGGAAGGCGGCATAATTGAATGATGCCAGAAAATTACACTCGCATCAATATTTGAGCACGCTTGATCTGGATGATCCCCTGTTCATAGGTGTAGCCAGGGGGAAGGAAGGGGGTTTTAAGCAACAACAAATTCTCATAATTAATTTGCATGAGTTGCAGAACGAACGCAGTTTTTGATGTATAAAGCTGATGTATGGCTGATTTAATGTTTGGAAGTCCTTTAGCTTATATTTAGCTTCAAGTTTTTTTTTTTTTTTTTTTTTGATCAAGGAAATCTAATGGCGTTCAGCTTGATGGCGTAATTCTCCGTTTTATAAAAAAATGGCCTCCCCCATTTCGAACCCTGGCTACGCCAACGCTTCTGTTTAATCAGAGATTGTGATAATGCATATTTAAATTAAATACAAACTCGAGAATACGTTATGTGTTTGCAAATGGAAATTCAGAGGGCGAAAAATGTTGATTGGGACACGATGTAATGGCTTTGAATTTAAGTTGAAAATACCGGTGGAAGTTTACGCAATATCCTGCATTTGCAAATTTACAAGCGAATGCTGAAAATCTGTACACTGTTCGCTAAGATAAATAACAAAATCAGAAAATAAACACGACGCAAGATTATATTTACCATTTGCTGCCCGTTAAATTTAAGATTCAGGGTACAGTTGGCAGTTTCAGCAACAACGACTTCAGTCGGATTGGATTGACTCCATTGGAAATTTAACCGACCTGGGGCCTCGTTGCTGAAGTCTGAACGAAGCATCTTTTTTTTTGTATCAACGGTTGTATGAAGAATAAGGTTTTCGACTTGTGAAATGAGGCCTCTGTTTTTTCGCCGACCATCTTGCATCATTTTTAATTCGTTTGACAACTGCACTGCTACGAACTCTGCCTCACGCATCTGCCGCCTTCATCGGCCGTTGCGTCGAGTTTCGGGATGATCGGGATGAACCACCGCTATTTATATGGCTGTCCTTCAACTCTTCAAGCTGATTTTCTGTGGATAACTAGTTTAAAGTTAACATTAATCACATAAAAAAAAATCAGCGTAATTGGTTGAAGGACAGCCGAGAAACATTTATGGGTTCACGGTAACACCCATCGCTTTATATGGATAGTGTCGTCGACATCCCTCGTTGCGGTGAATTGTTAGCTAGAAAACAAATATTTCTGATCACCTGATGGCCTTTGAAAATTTTTCGAAGCCACCTTGCATCATAATAGAATGTCCGAGAGATGTGATTTGAGTTGATGAATAGTGTGAGATCTTCAGTACAATAGTGCCTGTTCAACCTGAAGTCTTGAAACAAATATCATGGAATAATCTCTAAACTGCCGTGTTCAGAAAAAAAAACCTGTGAGATGCAATATGGATTATGGGATACTTGGATATCTTCAGAATCAATGATGGTGTTATTTAAAATAATTTCTGAGCAACCTGGAATCTTCGAGAATGTCTTGGAGATGTAATTTAAATTGTTGGGTAGTTGAAGATTTTCAGAATGATGCCTAATCAAGCTGAAGTCTCATACAAATATTTTGAGAATATTTTGGAGATCTATGATCAACTAAAGGTCTTGGAAATAATTTTTGAGAAACCTGGAATCTTGAGAGGATACGTGGGAGATATGATTAAAATTATTGTGCAGAAGAAGATCTTCAACATTTTTATGAAAAATCTTGACCAACCTGAAGTTTTGAACAAGCATCCTGAGAACATTTCAAAAATCCCCAATTACTTGGATGTCTTTGAAAAAATTCTGAGCAATCTGGAATTTGAGAGAATAGCTGGAAGATGTGATTTGAATTGATGATCAGTTGTAAATCTTCAGAATGATCAGCCGATCAAGCTGAAGTCTTGAAAAAATATTTTGAAGAATTTCTGGAGATCTATGATAACCTGGAGTTTTTTTAAATAATTTTTGAGTAACCCTAATATTGAGCTTGAGCTTGAGCTTGAGCTTGATTGACCGCCCACGGTTCCTACTCTGTTATTGCCAGATCAGCTGTAATTCCACAGAGAACCAATAGACGATGCTTGGGACTAGCAATCATCCTCAATGTGTAAAAACTGGTGATCTTAAATTAGGCAATACCAGCGCCGGCCGCGCCCGAACACAGGTCAAGAAAGGAATGGGAAGGATTGTGTTGACATGACACTCGCTTTGATGGAAGCCGAGAACACCTCTGCACTTCCACGAGGAATCACTGGGATGTTGGATAAGAGGGTTGGGTTTGCAGCAGGGTTCGTTTTGGTAAACGATAAGCTGAATTGATGTCCTAACGATCATATAACGCGAAGGAGCTTGGGACTAAACTCACGGTCTTCTGCTCAATAAGCAAAAACGTTTGCCACTAGGCATACGAGCACCTTTTTAATCACCGAGTTGCTGTTATTACCATGTAGTCATATTAACAAATAAAACGATTAACGAATCTTGAATGTGGAAGGGCCTGAGATTACACTCATGATGTTCTGCTCAGTAAGCAAAAACGGTTGCTCTAAGGCCACCGAGCCCCTCATATCACATAATACCGTTGCTCAAATTTTTGTATCCATTCAAACCCGGAACCAACGACAACAACGAGTTTCGTAAAATACCCGATACACAAGCGATTTTACCATAAATCTCTTTGATATGTAAGGACCTGGGACCGCGTTTTTCTGCTCAGTAAGCAGGCCACTGTAACCGACGATCTTTCAAATCCGAAAACTAAAAACTACGAAAAAGTACTTAGGCCTTCATTAAGTTCCACTTTCACGCGACGTTCTATGACAGGGTCCTATTCAGGACTACATATGAAAAATCCAAATCTGACCAACGCCTACCCTAAACCTAAACCTGTTCTAATCCACCTGAAATTACTAACGAATGGAAGACTTTGACTACCCAGCCATGAAATAGTCTCATTCCGTACCTTATGGCAACTTGATGAGTCTATTGCGCTCATCTTCTGGCACTACCCAGGGGAGACTTGGTCCTGTACCCAATGCTTAACTTATCTGCATTCCACTCAGCTACTCGCAATTTCTTGTGATATAGTGGGCGGAATATTATTATATGAGACAATTCAATGCAGACGTCTTTCCAAATTTGGCAGATCGACAGATAATCGGTGAGTTACCACGATAGTTGCTATTCAACAACTCGACAACGTTCCATCGTCAACGCCTGCTATGAGAATTTCCCATTTCAGACGCCAACGAAATGACGTCTTCGAGCTATCGATCAACTACCCTGGTTATCGCTTGGTACCTAATAGCACGATGCTAGAAGGCGAACCGGAAGAATCGATGAGCTACCTCTCCCCCATTTTTTTTGAGTAACCCTAATATTTGAGAGAAAAACTGGGAAACGTGACTACAACTGTTGGGCAGTTGAAGTTCATCAGAATAATACATGATCAAATTGAAATCTTCAACAAATAACCTGATGACCTCTTGGGTTCTAGAAATTTGTTCAAGACTTCAGGTTGGTCAGGATTTTTTATAAATAATCTTAACAGTCCATCATACCACGTAGGAAGATCAAAGTGTTGGAAATCAGCTTGAACCCCTCGCACTACAACCCTGGGATGGTCATCATCTTTACATACAGTCCACTATCCCTTGTGTCGTTGGCTACAACTGCACTATATCCAGAACAGATAGGCAGGAGCTCGTTGTTCACGGTGTGGTGATCTCAGCAACATCTACCAAACACACATAGGCTATGTGGTGGTAAGTTACGAACGGCCTGCGGGAGAGAATAATCGGTCGTTATCTCTTATCGAGATCGTGGCCAAGAGATCGATCTGTTCGAGCGGGATGGAACTTGCGAACCCCAAATTCATCGCTAGTGGCTATCGATTCGTCGGTGAAAACGGTTCAATCTGGGGAACCATACTTGGTTTTACACTTATGACTAGAGTTAAGTAGTAGTAAATAAATATTAGTGTAATCGTGTTAGTGCAATAAACAAGAAAGGCCCCGGAACCCTATCAAACGGGGTAATTAGGAGACCATACTCAAACTGCAGAGGAGAAGCCTTATTATGAATGCGTCATCCCTATGGAGCCATAACGGTTGGTGAAACCCCAATTTCATGTCGGCAGAGCTATCGGAATCGACACAAAGTTCTCCATCAAATCGACTGGATATTGCTAAAAGGCTGTTCATTAACTACATAGACAGTTTTTTTTTATTCTTGACCCCCCCCCCCCCCCGCCCTTCGTAGACAATTGTACAAACAAACAAAATTATGGGCCGTGGATAATTGCCAACCCCCCCTAAATTGAATCAGGTGTATCAAGTATTGTTATGAAAATCTCCAACCATACAACAATCGAAATCTCAATGCTTAAATATTCTCCATAACCATAACACTCATATAATTTTCTAGGTAATCAATAATCTTCGTAATTTGGATTTATTTTTTATATTTTTCGATTTCTGGTTTATCAGGTTTTATTCTGAAGACCATAAATTGTCGAAATCAGTAAAGCCAA